GCCAAAGCAAGTGGATGAGGCACTGGAGATCAAACTAAGGTAACCTGGTATTGAAGATAGTGGCAAATGTATCTAGGTGTTGGATACCCACCTGAGTGCACAACCACTGGAAAACTTGAGGAACTAAAGACCACTCCATCAGATAAATTTTTGTACAGATAGGATAGATGATATGCGACTAGGTTGAAAGCACCTGGAAGCAGAGTACTCAATATCTACACTAACAGAACACCAATTCTCTACTCTTAACTGAGTGGAAGTGGTCATACTTAGGAGGAAGCCTCCACATTCAACCACTGCAGTGGCTAGTAACTGGTAAGTAGCAAGGACTTCCACACTCCACAAGAAGAGGGGAGCAAAACATGCAGTGGGAAGTCCAGAAGAATGCAACACCTTAAGAATGCAAATTAGGTGACCACAAAAATCCTATTTTGAAAAGCAGGCCTGTCTTGGTTTACTCAGTTAGGACCAGAAAGATGGGCAGCAATCTCAATTCTGCTTTACTCATGATAGTTCACGAGTTGGTATGGTCTGGAAGAGACATTATTTATGAAGCAAGAAACCCCTGAGCAGTTTTGTGGAATACCTTATCTCATCAGTGAGTGTTACAGATTCTAAAGGTCTCACGGTACAGATTTAAAGCTAAGTATACCTAGACAGGTTAACACTCACCACAGAGTAGGATCCAGGGATTTAGAAAGAGCCACTGTAAAAGTAAGAGATAATAAATTAGAACTTTCCTGTTCAGAGCCTGTATAGGGTGTGGAGAATGGCAACGGGTAGCAAATGATAAATAGATGAGGAAGAGACAATCAAATGATGCAGGCAATGTGTGTGACAAAAATGTGAGGCGTAGTCCACATGCCAGCCTGCATGACTTCCTCTAATAGATGATGGAAGTGAGCATCCAGGGAAAGGGTGAGATGATGGATCTGGAGAGAAGAAACTTGGAAAATATGATGAGAATCTTCGATCAATGAAGTGTAAGCAAGACAAATGTGTTGACAGAGCCAACAAGTAAGGGTAACAGGAAAGAGATCTGGGGTGGAGGAGGAGTTCCAAGGGATAAAAAGTCTGGAATGGGAACCATGAAAAGGAGCCATGCAAGCAACATGACATTGAAGAACCTGCACAGGACAAAGATGATGATTTTGATCTGACCAAGAACAAAGATAAACAATAGATGAAAGGGAAATAGGTGTGAACATAGTTTCCCTCTCCTGCTGCAGACATTTTGGGGAAAAAGCACAATTGGGATAAAGAAAAATATAGGAACAATGAATAAAAGATGTGGGAAACATCAATAGCAAAAACACCTGACCTGCAATGCCCACAAGCAAAGAGGAATAAAAACAAATTTTGAGAAAAAGATGGTACAAAGAGCAAGAAGCTAAAGGCTCAAAAAGATGAATGGTAAAGGCATGAAGGACAACATTGAGATTCATATCCAGTAGGACAACTGGTTGGGGGAGGATGGAGAAGGTGAAAGGACCAAAACAGGAGAGGAAAAGATATGGCAAAAATGAGAAATATGAAAAGCATTAGATAATGCTGCCTTATAGCCTACAATGGTAGAAATGGATAAACCATGTTAAAGAGCCAAGTGAAAAAGTTGGATAGATGGGGAACAGTTGATTGGGAAGGGGAGAAGCCATGATGAAGAAACCAATGACAGAAAATGCTGGTAAACAAGGAAAGAAGAAGAACAAACAGAACGAGAAAGAAGGATGACTATTCACAAAAAGAGTCTGGACCTCCTCACAAGAGACTGGACTAAACCCATGCGTGAAGACATAATGTCAATATTGCTAGATGAGTGACGGAAGAATGAGATTGGCAGAGAAGGGATTGGGAAAGAGAAAGCAGCAGGGAAGGAGATGACTGAAGAAGGTTCAAGAGTGGAAACCATGGTTGGACTGGTGTGAACGGAGTGATGAGAAGGATCTGACACAGCATGGTTTGAATAAGTGACAGGACTTGGGAAAGAAGATTAATATAAAGGTAGGCATACAGATAAAGATTGGGCAAATCCTCACTGAATGCATCCAATGCAAGAGCTGAAGGATGCACAACAGATGACCATAACAGAGGAAGTTTGGCACTGAGGTGGGTAGCACAGTCACTGGAACATCTGAGGAACTATAGACCACTACATCAGTAGAATCTTTTTGGGATGAAAAAGCTTATCTGCAACAAGATTCAGAGTGCCTGAGATGTGAAAAGCAACAAGCCAAATGGGTTGAGATTGAGCCTATAAAAGGAGATCAAGCATTCAAAACAAAGCAAATGAGACTGGGTGTTCCATTGACAGTTGATATTATAGACAATGGTCGAATTGTTGGAATGGATCATGACAAGATGCTCCTGTATGACAAGAAGGAAATGATTTAATGCCCAAAAACATCCAGGAGCTCCAAATGATTGAAGTGTAGAGTCAATTCGACCATAGACTAACAATATCCTGAGAATCCAAATATGCCCCCACCCCGTCACAGATTAATGATGAAGTACCCATTGCATGTGTGCACAACCCCAAGGGACAAGGGATTTCATGAAAGCCCAAGTCCCCAAAAGAGAGCGAGAACCTTGTGTGTAGAGAAAGAAGTCCTGGCTTTGGATAACAAGTGCTCCATATATCTCAAACAAAGGAGAAGGCTGGGCCCTCCTGAGGTAGGAGTTGAAAAACACCACCAAATGAATAAGGTATTGAATGGGGGTGAGATGTGATTTTTCTAGTTTGACAAAGTCACCCTAAATGAGCCACTTCCTGAAAAAGGAAATGGGTATGGGTGCAAGACGCTTGCTGGAAATGAGCTAAAAGAAGTCAGTGAAACTACAGTCCCAGGTTATGAATATGATAGGCAAAGGCTCTGACTACAGGACAGAAGACATACGGAGCTGATGCCAGACCAATTTGTAGAGCACAGAATTCAAACTTCTGACTCCCACAAATAAACCAAATATGAAGAAATATGAATCTGAAAGTAAGCATCTGAGATGTCGACCTTAGTCATAGAAATACCTGGAGTGGACAATCATCTGAGGTTGAGAAAAGATTCTTTGGTGAAACGAGGGAGGTCGATGAAGCTTGTTTACATTTGACACATCATTAACTGGACAATAATCCTGTCTTTTTAGGGGAAAATGAGCAGATGTGAATATAACCCTGGAAAAAGGAGAAACAATTATTTGATAGCATTCTTCTGCAAGAGATCCAAAATTGTCTTGGAAAGAAACTGGCAAGAAAAGTGGATCCTGAGGAGGTGGGAAAGAAATATTACGAAGTGGAGATAATAGATTAGAGGAAAAATGAAGAATCAGATTGTCTGCCAACAACTGAAGAACCAAACAATCTGCAGTGAATGGACACCACAGATGAGCAAATTGGGCCAATCATGCTGCACCGGGCTAGAACCTAAGGAGTAGTCACAGACGATTTTGACATCTTAAAAAGCAACAATGGGAGCTCTGATTATTAGGAGCCAAAAAATATGAGAGTGGTACAGAGAGAGGAGAGGAAGCTGGAGGTCGAGAAATAGGAATAAGAACAGGAGAGGATTGAGAAAATTGGGAAAAAAAAGAGAATAAATAGATGAATATTTGTGCATCACCACATGAGTCTAAAGAATCAAGAACATCTCCAAAAAACAGACTGGTACAGAAAAAGAGCCAGTCAAAGGTCATATAGATAATATTTTGAGATCCCAGCAGCAAAGCCACCATGTATGGAGTGACAAAACTGAATAAGACAAACACACGGGTTAAACTCTGTTCATAATGTGGAAAAAGAAAGAAAACTTTCCATAAGAAAAATGACAACAAATTTTAAGTTGTACAAAAATTTAAAGTGATGTAAGGAGTGGAAAAAATGCACAACTGCACTCATGAATGCCAAACTGAGAAGTAATAAATGTAATCTCCAGTATAGAGGGAGCTGCACTAAGAGGGAAAATGTATTTTTCCGATTTCGCCTTCATTCGCACTTCCCACCTGTCTTCCCCACTCCTGGTGTGCCATTTTTTTGCCTGATCTAAAAGTATAGAGGGAGTCAGCTGTGCTATGAAGGTGTATTGCACTCTTATTAGTGGAAGGTTGTCATTTACTCATTTGTATGCTACAACACAGCTATACTATATGAAGTTAGGTAGAAGCTTCTCGGCTAGTGGCGTGCGAAAATGTGCCCATATAGAGGGCAGCATAAATCAAAGAAAGCATTATATGATAGAAGGTAAGGTATTGTATCAGAATTTCAGAAAAACTTGTAGTCAAATACTCAACAAGGAAAAGAAAGGTAGTAGAATAGTAAACTCTACCCAAAATACTTGTGAAAATGGTTCCATAGCTTAGAAAAGTAGAGGAAAGGAAAAAACCTGAACAGATGGAGCAAAATGTTTTCCATGAAGCAAACAAGATGACTCAATGAACAAAGATATGTACTAAGACAAGTAAGAAACAAACAAGAAGCAAAAGAAACAAGAACATCTTCACCCAAAGTTTCTGGCTTATCATTCTGAGAGAAAATAAAAACTAAAAAAAAGGGTAAAAGTGGGGAGGGGAATATGCACAATATCTATCAGAAAAAGACAATATTACCAAGCCTCTGAATGGTGGGAGTTAAGAAGAAAAGTGCTGGCATTAACAGAATATATCAATTATTTCCTCATAGCATTTACATAACTCCCAATGATTAATTGCAAGTTGAGAAATAGGGGAAGTAGAAATATCATTAACAGTTGAAGATGACAATAAAATGTGCAGGATGTACAAATCATGTCAGCATGTGTGTATGAAATTTTCTGATGATAGCAGAGGAAAGGCCTCAGTCAAAAGAAAAAATTTAAGTGCAAATTGAAAAAAATATTAAAAAGTCAAAACTAAGAAAAGAACATATTTTCATATATTAAAAACCTGTGTGTAAGAATAATATTTACACCTCAAAATGAAACATTAGTAGCTATATTTAATCCACTACATTGTAGAGTAGAAACAAAGCAGCTAACCTGCACTTTTTCTTTTGTCCATATCCAGAAATCGGCTGTCTCTTTTACATTGACTGAGTCGAACAAATACAGCTTTTCGTGGTGGGCAATGAAAGTATCGATGTCCATTACACATACCATCAGTACCAATATGGATTTCTTCTTCCTAGGATGATAATTTTGGAAAAATGATAGTATTTATAGATAAAATATTATAAAAGTTTATGAATCAGCAAATATCAAGAGATTAAATTTCATTATAACTTTCAAAGATACTTGGCCTCAGCAATATTTTAAGGAGATGTAAAACAAAGTCGAAACTTTAACCCTAAATTCATGACTTAACCAAGCCCAGACTGTTGATAAGTCTGGAGTATGTAACATTGACAAAATTTTATAATTTACCAAAAATAAGCTAAAATTATAGCTGTGTACTAAGGCTTTCTTTCTATAAAGTCAAAGTATCAGTAACTGTTTAAAATTGGGTAGTTATTCAACATTGTTTGACCAATATCTTCTATTTTTATGGCCAAAAGTTTCAAGAGCAATAAGCACAGTCGATGCAGAGGTGAATATGATAGGATAACCATTGAAAGAAAATTATCAAGTAAAAGAGGGCAAAAAAGTTTCCAAAGAAAGAATAAAAGAAAACTAGAGTTTCATAAAAAAGAATAAAACTTCTCCTTTGAACCAAAAGCTCCTGTTGTCTTGTATTTTGGAGATGGTGAGTCAATCCTATCAGCAGCCTATGCACTATAGGAGTGGGGTATAGATTTTGGAAAAGATAATCAAAATCATTTACTTTATACTCCCTACTAGTACATGTCACTGTACATTAATTAATAAATCATATGAAAATGCATTATAATTAAATGTTCGCATGAATGTACTTTTCAAGATATTCTAAACTATTGGTATTATTATTATAATTAGAAAATTTTATGTTTCAGCTACTACCTATTATTATGTTTAGCTTCAAATGTATCTTATTTTAGTACTGATATATTTGTCAAAAATATTTTAATATCAACTTTGAGTTTAAAACTGAGGGGAGCACAGGAGTAATCTTGATGGGCAAGGCTCTCTTAAGTCTCCGCCAAGAATTCTGCTCTGTGTTGATTAGATATTAATGAAGCTCATTTACTGTCCCTTTGTTAAAACATTTTAAAGGTTATCTTGTGTACCACGTATATTAATTCTCTTATTGAAATACTAACGGTTATTGATAGAATTGAAATATCTAAGCCTGTGACCAAACCTACACTGAAGACAGTAGTCAACATTTGTCAAAATAGGTTAATATTACTAACCAATTTGTTAGTTATATCAAAATCAGCCCCAGTTTTTGTTCTGGTCTTGGACTTTTTAGGGCCTAGTCCAAATGATAAAAATATAAAAATTGAACAATTATTAATATTGGATCTGATAATATGAAAATGTATTACTACCTTTTACAGATTTTGGCCTGGCTATGTCACAAATTCAGGTTTAATATATTGTCTATTTTAACAAGCAATACCCAACACAATGGCAGAAAATATGACTGTCATGATATAAAAGATTGTTTAGTGTAGATATTATTGTATAATATATTTTGTGAATGAATATTTTATGATTGTTCAGTTTTGTTTATAATAAGATAGTTAAAAGCTGACAATTGTTGGAAGTTGTGTTTACAATTCATTGATATTGAAACTATCGAATGTCATGTGCAATACACTGATGTCAAGAATATAGAGATTTCTAGAAGGCAGGCAAACAATTAAGTGATAAATATATAAGTAGTGTGAAACAGACAATAGCAGAAGAGAGTGAAGTCACAGCTAAGGAAAAGTTTGGCGTGAAGTTAACTGCTGTAAAAGTGATAGGCCTAGTGATTAACATAGGCCTAACATTTAATATGTTAGAGTAAGACTAACAGTAGAAAAGGACATAAGAAGAAGAATTTATTCCGTCAAAGCATGGTTCTAAAGTAACTGAATCAGCCTGAGTGCACTTTGACAAAAGGAAGAAGACCAAACAATTACTGGAGGAACAGTACACAGTATTATATACAGAATACTAGTGCAACAGAAATAGGGAAAGGTAGTTTGGCTTCTCAACTGAAATTCTAAAGTAACTGAATAAGCCTAAGTGGACTTTTGACAAGAAGAAGAGAACTACATACAGTGTTTATATGCATACAATCTCTATAGTGTAAAAATTTGTTGTATGTATGTTTAACTAGTTCAAACATATATATATATTATTTTGAGAGCAGGTGGAGTGTTGTACTGATTGTTCATTTATCATTGAATTTATTGCAAACAAGTCACAGACACCTACTGTAGAAGAATCCTTAGCCCAACAACAACAGTATATATTTATACTATTAAGAAGTATATGTAAAAGCCTTTAATTGACAATTGGCAAACATAATTTAACATCTGACAATGACTATTTCAGTAGGTGGTGAGATATTCTATCATATCCAGAAATCTGGAGGCCCTACAGTAAGGTACATCACCATGTAGGGCATGATACAGGGAGTATTTTGCTGTGCTGTCTTCTTTTACCTGAGTAGTCCTTAAGGTGTTTATATCCTACTAAAGTGGACCACCTACACACCATGATCATGCTATTTCACCATTTTCTAATAATCCTCTCTCCTCTTATCCTTGTAACATATTTTCACTTCATACAGAAAAAATCTTCATATTTTCCATACCTATACTGAGCTTGAATCATTTTCCCCCCTTCTCAGTGCTGAGATTTGCAACAAATCAAATTGTCTTTGCTTTCTTCTCCATTTGAGGGCAAGCTGTCAGATACATCCATAAGTTTATAACTCCTGTACACAGATATGCTTCCCTTTGGGCACTTTATGGCACTTCCTCTGCCGAGGATTCTCCAAGTTCTCTTATGGCTAACTTTTTGAGCAATGATATGCCATCATGATTGCATCCACACCTGCTACACTTTTAACACCTTGGACATTTTTTTACATTACATTTGCAGATTAACTTTGAATCCTATCTCATTTACATGTCAACAAGAACAAACACTTAGAGATTCTGGCTTGTTGTCTCAGCAGTTCCTCACAGGCTTCACAAAAAAGTTCAGGATGTATGAAAGGGCTGATGGGCTGTCTTGGATGATGAATTGCTTCCCATAGTGGTAGTTCTGGAATTTCTGGATGGGAAATATGATGGCCAGAGACACTCATTCAATCACAGAGTAGTTTCTCTCACTACTCAACAATTTTTTACCGATGTACATTATGGGAAACATACTATCTTCATTTTTTGCAGAAGTACTACTCCAATTTCAATGCCTGATGCATTAGCCTGAACAATGAACAGTTTGTTGAAGTCTGACATTCTAAGGACAGTCGAACTTCCTAACTTGTTCTTCAACTTCTGGAATGCCATCTGCTGTAGCTGTTCCCACTTCATCCCGTTGGGTTGGCCTTTCTTGGTCAGGTCAGTCATTGGTGCAGCATAGTTTGGGAGGAAGTTTCTACAGTATTCCAATAACCCCAGGAAGGATCTGACTTGCTTCTTTGTCTTCAGAGCTGGTGTATCTTGTATGTAGGTTAGCTTTTTCTCTTCTATGGCTATCTACTGTTCGCCCATCTTGTGTCCCACAAAGTACAGCACAGAATAGCCGATATAGCACTTAGATAGTCAGACCTACTGCCCTCACTCACCCAAACAGCTCTCTGAGTTTCTTCAGGTGGTCTTCCCATCTGGTTGTGTGTGTCAGAATGTTGTCCTCATAATGTATGATGTTGGTGGTTTTGTGCAATATCTTCCTCATCCTGAGGTTGAATGTCTCTAATCAGTGGACTAACCCAAATGGCATCCTCTTGAACTGATATTATCTGTCTGGTGTCACAAAAGCTGTCTTCTCTTTAGATTCTGTCTCCATCAATATTTGCTAATAAACTTTACTATGGTCAATCCTGGAAAAGAACTTGGGCTCCATTTAGATTCACCATGATAGTCTCTGGGTTACCCATAGGTTCAGATTTATCTTCATCACAAGTTTCAGCTTCCACAAATCTATACAAAAGCAATTTGAGCTGTCCCTCTTTTTATGTTTACCACTGGTCTTAGGTCTAGTAGGTCTTCATCTTCTATGACAAAGTCAATGTCTTCTGGTTCTGTATCTATGACAGCCACATCTGAAATGTCCATCTGTGCCTCAATCACTGCATTCATTAGGATTTCTTCCCTCTCGAAGGACCACTTCAACAGATTGGCAGGGTAGATGTTGATCTTCTCACCCACTTTTACCTTGTAGTCCATTCTGTTGGAAACTTCTTGTATTTCTGAAGGTCCTTTCGACTGTAGGGTGAGTTTGTAAGTAGCAGAACAAAGATCTTCTGTATGACCTTGAAATGACGATCCTTGATCTTCTTGCACTAGAAGTGCTTTTGACTGCCTTGAGCCACATACAAACTCTCATGAGCTAATTAACAGCTAGTGTGTTGGTTTCTGAAGCCTAACATGTACTGGTATGTGTTCCTCACTTCTAGACTCTTCATCTCCTATCTACAGTTCCTTCAGTATCTGCATTGGCCTCATTCTGTTTTTCCATACAGTAACACGTAGGGTGGAAATCCTGTACTCACTTGTAGCACTTCTCAATAAACAAATAATACTGTCTGCAGGTACCTGTCTCAGTCACGTGGTCTCTACTGGCACATCTTCTTTAGCATGCTCTTTAAGACTCCTTTGACTCTCACAAAGTCCATTATATCTGGGATTGTACAGGGTGGTGGCAAAGAGCTACCTAGTGTTGATGAGTCTGCACACCTCTTGCACCAGTTTTGAGGTAAACTGGGTCCCTCTGTCACTCAAGACTTCTTCTGGAAAGGCTATTCTGCAGAACACTTTCAGGAAGGCTTCTACTACTCTCTCCACCTCTATCTTCAACAGTGCTATGTTTTCTGGGTAACGTGTTGCACAGTTGACTACTTTCAGAATGTACTCATTGCTCTTGTTGGATAGAGGTGCTAATAGTCTGATCAAGTCAACAGTTACTCTACTGAACTGCTCTTCTATGAGATGTGTCTCACCCAATGGCTTGGCAAATGTCACATGACTTACAGAATCTAGTCCTATCTTCAATGAACTCTGGCCAATAGAAGCTGCTGGTGATTCTATCTGCCATATTTTTAACTCCTATGTATTCTCCCACAGTCGACTCATGAACCAATTTCATCACAAGTCAGGTATTCTATTGGTACTATAACCTGTTTATCTTCCCCAGTAGAACTGCCTTGATAGACCCAATACAGCACTCCCATGTGGTTCTCTATTCTGTAGGTCTCTTTCCCCTTTGTCTTGTGTTCAACTTTTTCCCTGGCACTGTCCCAAAATTTCTGTAGTGAAGAGTCTTTTTTCTGTGCTTCCTTCAGTCCTGTAGACCTATATTCTGGATGTCACCTTTTGAGACTTGCTTGATATCTTGCTTGCTTTTCTTGATCTCTTGTTGTGACTGCAGATGCCACATCAGTCTTCTTTCTCACTGGTTTCTCCAAATTTCTACTGCCTAGTATATTGCCAATCACCAAGTCTTAGATGGGTGCCTTCATACATATGACCTCAAGGTCTCCTATGTAGTATGAAGTGTGCACCTTTATTCTTGCTATGGGAAACTTTCTCACTGTCCCATCAATCAGCACACAAAGATGTATCTTGCACATCATCTGGTCATCAGATACTAGACTGGTTCTCACTGCTGCACCCAATATCTCATAAGACTTTCACTTTCTTGTCCCTGACATAGCCTTCACCTACTGGTATGTTGTGGTCTGTTGATACCTCTCAATGTTTGCCACATGCTCTGATCACCACTGGCACTGTTGACCCTTTTGATAATTTGAGCTGCCCACCATCATGCACTGTTTAATCATGGTGATAATATTTCATGAACTGTTAACATATCAGTATGTCCACCAGTTCTTCAAATCTATCTTCATCCATCATGCACTGTTTAATCATGGTGATAGTTTTTTATGAACTGTTAACATATCAGTATGTCCACCAGTTCTTCAAATCTGTCTTCACACTTGACCATGTCTGTCCATCTTGTGAAGTATCACTGTAGAAGTGCCACAAATTGAAATTCTTTTTCTACAGTGTCAGGCTTGATGTGGTTGAGCTTCTGGCAGAAGACTTACTCAGTAAGTTCATAATGCTTCAGAATAGCCACATTTAACTTGTCACAGTCCATAGCATCTCCTGACATCATGCCTGCATACACTTGTAGGCCTTTACCTGTAAGAAGTGGGCTGAGACAGACCACCCAGTTGCCTTTGTCCCAATTCTGACTTTGGGCAAATCTATCATATCTCTCCAGGAAAGCATCAATGTCATCTTTCTGTTCATCAAATTTTGGCAGCTTGGGTTAGCTGGCCCTCACCCGAATGTCATTCTTCGTTCCTCTGTCTTTCTGTTGGATGAGCTTGGCAAATTCAATTTGTGCTCTAGTTCTCTGTATTTCCAGTCTGTCCTTTCTCTTCTTTCCTTCATTCTCTTTTTGGGTTTGTGTTTCTCACTCTCTCTTTAGGTCTTGTTGTTGTTTAACAGATTCTTGTAGATGGCCACCTTTAAGCCCAAGTCATTTGCCCCTCTCTATACACTTATTAAAGTCAGTCGACATGGTTATATAGTGTGGTTGTGACATCTACAATATTTTTGCTACCACTACAGCTGTGTAAAAATAGGCCCCTTTGCCACTATTTTTTATATCATCTTCTAGCACTGTAGATTCTGGCTGGCTCACCACTGTCACGTTTTGTAAGGCCGGATTCTTTACAGTTGGTGTCTGTGAGTTGTTGGCAATAAATGTCAACTATAAACAAACAACAACACAATCCACTTCTTTTAAAATAATATATTGAAACCAAATTAAATGTATATATAAATGTTTGTTATACTGTTGGTTACCATAGTTTTGTCCAGAGCTTTAAATATTTCTCTTTTTTTTGTTAAAGTCCACACTAGCTGGTTCATTTAATTTAGAACACAACTGATAATACAAATTATCATTCTCTATTCTGTTATTACAATACAGTCTGTGATAAATTCACATTAAAAATTGCCACTATACACTCTTTATTGCAAAACTCACAATCACACAGTCTAGAATTAGTAAAAAATAATAATTTTTTTATACATATTTATACCCCATGAGAAGTCTAGAACATTATACACAATACTAAATATTCTGATGCAATAATACTCAATTAAACCAACTAGAAACATGATGCAATAACCTCACTATTGTAAACAAACACTAAATCACAAACAATTAACTTACACAACACATGATTAACAAACTGTTACGTAAACAAACTTCCATAAAATATTGCTTCTTAAAATAACTAAATATAACACCTGTGTGATATAAATTACCTACATTATAAAGCTCACATTAAACTTAAACTATTAGATATACACGAGTGTTTCATTTAAATTTAATATGAGAGTTATGATTTAGATAGTTATAAAGCACTAGTGTTAAATTTAGTATTTTAGAAGTTATGAGTTTGCTTATGTAACTATTTATCAATCATTTGTTGCAAACTGACATCATATTACTTGAACCTTCTGAATTATTCTCATTGCTTTAAGTGAGTATTAATATATTATAGAGTCTTGTAGTTTGTAGAAAGTTCTAGGCCTCAATCAGGTAATAAATATATATATATAGGTGATTAAATAAGTAAGTTAGACTGCATACCAATTTAGTCATAACAGACAATTTCTAAAGTGAGTTTCACAACTTGTACTATAATAACAGAGATAGAGAAGAATAACTGGTATTATGAAAGGGTGTTCTAAAGTAACTGAAAAGTAAAGTAACTGTGTAGACTTTGATGAAAAAAAAACAATTATTTAAAGCTCTGGATACAACTTTGATAACCAATAGTGTAACAAAGTTTTGTACATACGTTTGACTTGTTTTGAATATATTATTTTAAAACAAGTGGATTGTGTGCTGTCCATTTAATGTTGAAATTTGTTGCCAATAAAAGTCACAGACACCTACTGTAAAGAATTCGGTCCCTATAACACTGACAGAAACAGTCGTGTGTATCTAACACTGCAGGCTTAACCGAGTACTGGAAAAATTCATATAATGCTTGTGCTTATATGTTGCCTGCCCATTCTGTCATACAGTGTCCCATGATTAGTCATGATGGCAAAAATTCTTTCATCTATCATCTTCAGGTATCATTGAAAATTATGACACAACACATTATAAGTGATCTATCATATTAGTCATACGATTTGGGAATTATGATCTCATAAAGACATGACATATTATAAGCAGTCTATTAAGTTTGTCAAATCATTTTGAGAATTACAACCGGGTATTGACCTGACACCTATTATACTTGTCACACCATCTTCAGAATTATGACCTGCCAATGATCTGACATGTTGTAAATGATCTATTACAATGGTCACTTTAATATGCAAATTTTCTTTTAAGTCTGATATAAGGCACTTCGTGCCTTTAGTGACATAAAGTAAAAAATATCCTGCAAATGGTAAGACTGAGTTGGCTGGAACTCAAGTAATATCTGCAAAGATCAAAACGCTGCAAGCAAAGATTTTTCAGGTAAAAAATTCATAATAATTACAGAAGTAGTAAATTGATTGAGACTGTAAACAAAATTCTTAAAATTTAACTGCACTGCAATGTTTATTTACTAATTTTTGTTATTGATTTTTTTATAAATATATCTTCTACAGATTTCTTTCATGAGTTATTTTAAACTTATTCTGAAAAACTATAGGATTAAGCAAGTATAAAAATGTATCAATAAGAAATAGCCAAAAGGCCGAACTTCTTTATTTGTTAGTTTTCAGATATTTGCATAAAGCTACTCAAGGGCTATCTGCACTAGTTGTCCCTAACTTTAAACTGATATTTTCAATTTCGTTATTGTGACAAAAAACTTGTTCTATCAAAGAAAAAGAGAAATTTTATTGCTTAGAAAACTGGCTTTAAACATAAAAATTTCCATATATAAGCCTAAAATTTTACTACTTACAAATATCATCGAAAACTGGCTTTAAACATAATTTCCATGTATAAGGAAAAAATTTATTGTTTAGAGATATTGAGTAGTGGTTTTAAACATGGTAATCTCCATATATAATGCTAATATTCTATTGCTAAGAAGTATCATTGCAAACTGGCTATAAACATGATAATTTCCACATATAATCCTAAAGTTTAATATGAATTTGGTAGAAATCATGAACAAAATAATGTTGAGTCAAAAAACAAGTGCAATATATGCATGGCATCTTGATATTTCCCACTGTTTCATGTAAAAAAAGTTTATGCACCTCAGTGTACTTTGTTACATATATTTCAATGAATATATCTTATTGCATTTTGAGGTTCCTAAAGCCAAGCAGTATTTTTTGACAACTATAATAATCCCACCATCTCAACACCAGCAGTCACATTCATGTCTTCTGGTAGCTGACCAATCCATCGGATGACACCATAGTGAGAAAACCCATCAACAAGTACCTCCACAACAGAACCAACTTCCAGGTTATCTACTACTGACTGTTTTCTTAATCCTGTTAGTTGCTTCTTCCTACCAGATGTATTTGTCAAAATATTATAGCTTTCTCTAGAAGTTCCTATCCTTTGCCCTTGACATGGTATCCCTGTGAATATAAGATATTAGCTGTTGTGTTAAAAGTGTAAAAATATTAATGCCATTTGTAAATAAAATTTCAAAAATAATGATGTTTCAAAGTTTTTTATGTTTATTGAGGGTCTTTTATGCATAATCAAGATTGTTTATTTGTTTCTTTCCCTTTTATCAAATCCATCCATCCTAATGATAGTATAATACTATCAGCCAATGTTATAATTTTGAAGCTTGGTCACTTGTATAGCTGTTTTAGCTAATCTGATGAGATTGAAATAGTATTATCTGGACAGGTTTTTTTTAATGAATTTTATTATCTTAAAGTTGTGTTAGCTGACAAGACAAGAATGCAAAAAATCAAAGAACTTTCAACAATGAACTAAAATCTTTGGAAAATCACTATTCTAAAACTTTAAGTTTGTTTATTCAAAACATATTATTCAAAAAATTACTGAAAATTGAAACTTTTAAAGTGATTTTTTTCAGATAACCAATATAATTAGAGCTTTGCTATTGATTTCATTAGTTATGAAAATGATCTATTTCTTACCACAATAATGGCTGGAGACGGCTTAAATGGGTAATAAAGAAAAACTTTAATATAAGTTTAACATGACAGCAAATGTACAACGTTTCAACAAGGTTTTGTCATCTAAACTATAGTTTATAATACGTTATGTTCAGCTTCATTTATCTAAACTATAGTTTATAATACGTTAT